TGTTTTCTCTTTTGTGAAACAGGTCATAAACGTCTTCCTCACAGAGCAGTTGTAACAGACAATTATGTGTGTGCAAGTTGAAAGGGCTCAGGAACTGCTCTTTTTTTTCCACCAAGTTGAGCTTTTTAAGGGTTTTCTTAATTGGGATAAAATATGCATAGCATACAATTTGCCATCTTAACCATTTTTAAGGGTACAATTCAGGGGCATTAAGTTTATTCACATTGCCGTGCAGTCATTACCATCCATCCACAGAACTTTTTTCATCTAAAACCGAAAGAAACTCTGTCCCCTGTAAACCCTAACTCCCCATTCCTCCGCCCCCTCTTCCCTGGCAACCAGAGCTTGACTTCCTGTCTTCCTGAATCTGACTTCTGTAAGTGTCAATCTGACTGTTGTCTGTCAACTCATACCGTTTGTCCTTTTGCAACTGGCTTTTTCTTAACATTTTTTTTTAGTGCGGTAAAATATACATAACAAAATTGACCATTTTAGCCAATGGTATTAAATACATTCACAATGTTGTGTAACCATCACCACCCTCATAGTGCAGGCCCTGAGAGGTGGTTTTCTGTGTTTTTTTTTCATTCTTGGTAATGCAAGTGCCTGCCTAGGCTTTGATTGCCGAGGCAATCCACTTCCAGAGGACTATCTTGAATAAACACACAGCCAGGCTGCCTTTCCCTGGCTGAGGCGCCTTGTTTCAGAGGTCTCCATGAACTTGGCCGTGCCGCACCCTTCCTGTTTTGGGAACAGCTGAACTGCAAGTGACGTCCTCTCTTGGGGCCGAAGCTTTTTGCCACATTGCAGTAGGGAGCAGTGCCTTCCAACTTAAAATCATCTAATCAGTTACTAAACTTCCTATTTTATTTATTTAAGTAGTTTTTGTTGAAGTATTGTTGATATACAATCATATATTGGTTTCAAGTATACAACACAGTGGTTCAGCAGTTACCCACATTATTAAATAACTAGCACAGTTACTGTCAACCTAGGAAGATGTTACAGAATCATTGCCTATATTCTCCATGCTGCACTGCTGTCCCCGTGACTAACTTACATGATGATTGGGAATTTTGTGCCCTTTATCCCCCTCACTCTCCCTCCCATCCCAGCCCCTCCCCCACGGTAACTGCCAGTCACTGCTCAGTGTCTACGAGTCTACTGCTTTTTGTTCATTTTGTTTTGTTTTGAGATCCTACAAATAAGTGAAATTATATGGTATTTGTCTTTCTCCACCTAACTTAATTCACTGAGTATAATACCCTCTGGATCCATCCATATTGTCACAAATGGCAGGATTTATTTCTTATGGCTGAATAATATTCCATCATATATATATGTACCACTTCTCCTTTATCCATTCATCTATTGATAGACATTTTGGTTGCTTCCACATCTTGGCTGTTGTAAATAATGTGACAATAAGCATAGGGGTGCATATATCTTTTCGAATCAGGGATTTTGTTTTCTTCTGGTAAATTCCTAGAAGTAGATCAACTACCTGTTTTAAATTGGAATACAAAAGCTACTTTGTTCACTCAGAGAATGTGTCCAATTCTCTTGAAAATTGTATATACATTAAAAGTAAACACATTTATGTCTTGGCTTCAACATAAAAATATTAAGATTAAAATCACAATGAGATATCACCTCACACCAGTAAGGATGGCTACCATCCAAAAGACAAACAACAACAAATGTTGGCGAGGTTGTGGAGAAAGGGGAACCCTCCTACACTGCTGGTGGGAATGTAAATTAGTTCAACCATTGTGGAAAGCAATATGGAGGTTCCTCAAAATGCTCAAAATAGACTTACCATTTGACCCAGGAATTCCACTTCTAGGAATTTACCCTAAGGATGCAGCACTCCAGTTTGAAAAAGACAGATGCACCCCCATGTTTATCACAGCACTATTTACAATAGCCAAGAAATGGAAGCAACCTAAGTGTCCATCAGTAGATGAATGAATAAAGAAGATGTGGTACATATACACAATGGAATATTATTCAGCCATAAGAAGAAAACAAATCCTCCAATTTGCAAGAACATGGATGGAGCTAGAGGGTATTATGCTCAGTGAAATAAGCCAAGCGGAGAAAGACAAATACCAAATGATTTCACTCATCTGTGAAGTATAAGAACAAAAGAAAAACTGAAGGAACAAAACAGCAGCAGAATCACAGAAACCAAGAATGGACTAACAGTTACCAAAGGGAAAGAGACTGGGGAGAATGGGAGGGGAGAGAGGGATAAGGGCAGGGAAGAAGAAAGGGGGTATTACGATTAGCATGTATAATGTGGGGGTTGGGGGAGAGGGGAGGGCTGTGCAACACAGAGAAGACAAGTAGTGGTTCTACAACATCTTACTATGGTGATGGACAGTGACTGTAATGGGGTTTGTGGGGAGGACTTGGAGTAGGGGAGAGCCTAGTAAACATAATGTTCTTCATGTAATTGTAGATTAATGGTAACAAAATAAAAAGCAAACAAACATAAAATTATATATACCCCCCAAAAAAAATATATATATATATATATTAAGATTATGGGTTTGATTTTGTCATCTTTATACTTAGTTGTAAACTGTGCTGAAGTTCACAATCGCTCACTCAGGGCCCAGTTTCACCACCTGAGGAATGAATGGCAGGATTTTCTACCAAGTGGCTTCTTGTCACTTCCCAGAGTCACCAATGGCTGCCGGCATGAATGCCATCCTCCTGTGCTCTGCAGTCCCAAGATGGCTATCTCTGCTGCCCCTCTGATGACCTCAGAAGTCCCCATCTCACATATTTTGCAGAGCCATACCCACCCTCCCTGTCCCTACACAGAGGGAGAACAGTGAGGTGGAGTCCCTGCTCTGAAACACAACACACAATGTCCATCCTGGCTGAGCCACGGTGCCTCCCCACGGGCGGGAGAGACTTCTGCGTGCCTCTGGCTGCTGACTCTTCCTGCCTCCCCCGGTGGTGCTGGTGGCGTCTGTCCACACCTCCCTGTGCAGTTTCATGGTTACTTCCCCACAGGGCTGAAAGGTTGAAGAGAGAACGTTTAAGGTTAAAAGGTTATGCACTTTAAAAGTGCGGGCAACCTCAGAGACAAGAGCACATTGAAAGATTGGGGATTCCCCCTTTTAAAGATTTTTTTCAGGAATGTGACAAAGGGCTAGGGGTGTGGACTTGTTAAGTGGTCCCTGAATATTTTAAATTCACTTAACACAAGAAATTTACTGCTCTGATTCCCTCCTAGGATAGCAGCTTCCTGGTCTGGGAGCATATCAATCAAGACTGCCTGCCCTTCCTCCAAGGTGGGCTGAGTTATTGTCTGTTTGCTAAAGAGTAAGTTAGGAATCTTACTTCTCCACTTCCTGGGTGTTAAAATGCAATCTTATCTTTAGGTTGGAATCCTTCCCTCCTTTTACTATGTTGTTGATGGCTGGACCTGCTTGCTAAACTAGTTGCCCAGGTTGCAAATTACTTGATCAGGGCTGAAGGAGGAAAAACAGCATATAGATAAAGTTAAAAAAATTAAACTGGGCCTGCATGATTAACACAATAAAGACATGAGCTATGGTGAGATACTTTCCTTTATCTGGGGAATATTCAGACATTCCCAGGCCAAGTTGCTCCTGACCTTTTGAGCTTTAACTGATTAACTCATTAACTCTTGAGTTTTTTCTGGCTCTCTAGTTTTTACTGGTTAACATCTTGGGTCCCTTGTAGTGGGTTTTACTGGCCTTAAATCTCCACCCCGCTCATATCTATTTTCCTGTCTAAAAGTAATGTCCATCACTCTTCTTTCCTTCCCTCAAAACCTGGGGCCACTATGCTCCGTGGAAGAGTCAGGCTGGCCTCTGTGTGTACGTGGTTGGGGGTTCAGACCCACTCCCAGCCTCTTGCCTGGGCAAAGGGAAAAGTCCAAAAGCCATCCAGCTGCACAACTTACAGGCCGTGGGACTGCCCCCTCTCAGTTTCTCTATCTGTAAAATGGGGCCTATGGCTCCAAGAGCTGATGTGAGGGTTGGGAATGCATGGAAGGTGCCAGCACAGGGGCTGGCCCACGCTCCACCCTGCATCCATGGTGGCTTCTCTGCTCAGGAACCAAGCAGGAAGCAGGACTCACTTTCTGTTTCCAGACAGTTTGGAGTTGCCATCACACTGGTCTTCCTCAGAAAGTCCTCTGTTTGGAAAGAAGACCTGTTGTCAAGTGGAAATAGCCAGGGTAGAAGACAGCAGTGTTCCCTCAGCCCCCTCCCACAGACTTCTCATCCATGTAAAAGGCATTGACCATCAAGGATTAGGGTGACCCAAGGGCACTGGAGCTGTCCCTGCCATGAGGGACAAGTCTAGAGGGAGACTGGATCAAAAGCGGTCGGGGGAGACACGGACATAGAGGCCAAGCAGTGAGCTTAGGCCCCTCCCCCAGGTGCCATGGGAGTGGAGCAGGGCACAGTGGACCCTGCCAGAGAGGATGCTGGAGGGCTTCTCAGAGGAGGTGATAGCAGAGTTGGGCTTTGAAGTATAAGCATGATTTTCCCATGTGGTAGAACCAGGTGCTCCTGAAAGAAGGGCCTGCATAAGCAAATGTGCAGAAGCTGCACTGACATGGCATTTAACAGCAGCACCATGACAGGTATGCAGTGAGCATTTGGTATGTCTGGGGCCTGTGCTAAATGCTGGTGTCAGGAAGGTGGATAGGGCAGGCATGCTGGGCAGTGTGGTGGGGGGACAAGAAGGGGCTAGAAACAAACCATGGGGCAAGGGGAATAATTTTCAAAGGGCCCCACAATCTGTCAATGACAAGTCTTCCTTCCCCAAGCCTGAAGTCTGAGGCAGGATGGCCTGGAATGGCTGGTCTGGGGGTGCTCCTCTAAAGGGGTCAGCAAAAGAGTAGGAGTAGTTGAGAATGTTCCAGTGTGTTTGATTACGAGCCTCTCAGAAATGGAGACTTTAATTTTCTCTTTCACTTTCCTTTTCCATCCCCAGTATATATGGGCCCAGAGGATGTGTCTGGTTATTGTGCAGACACACAGCTAGCAGCTGAATCTGCACAGATCCGAACAACTGGATTTCATTCAAGCTCAACCAGGGTAAGATTCCTTGGTAAGCTGGGGAGGTAGGAATCCCAGACAGGTCAGGTCATGGGACCCAGGGTCACGCAGGAAGCAGCGCCAGAGCCTGGCTTTGACCCCAGGTTTGTCTGCCAGCTTCGTCCTCCCCTAAGCAGTGGCGGGAGAGGGGGAAACTGCTCAGATGGGTTCACAAAGCTCGCCCCTAACTCCGGCTCAGCTAGGGCTCCAGACTGCCAGAGAGAAGAGCAGGTGGCACCAGAAGGAAGGGGGTGGTGGGGGGGTGCTACTCCCTTCGGGAAATTTGGAGGAAGCAGAGATGAAGGAGTGGGGCCAGTGAGGCAGAGCCTGTCCGTGGGGCCTGGCTCCTGAGGCTGCCCTGGAGGGGCTGCTGCTAAGGCTGATGGGGACTGAGGTTTCTTCTTGTCTCATGCACCCTGGGGCTGAGGCCTGCTCAGGGCCACACCCTGTGGGAAACCTGACTGCGTGGCTTGCTGAGGGTCTCATGCTGGAAGACAGAGCAGGATGCTGGCAGGCCCTGTGTTCAGGACTGTGGGGCCTTGGGAGAAATAATAGGCCGTCCAGTGGACTGATGGCCAGTTGGAAAGATGGCCCAGACGGCAGTGAGCAGGGCGGACTGCTGCAGCACAATCCCAGCTTTGCAATCTTAACGCAAGAACCAAATCGTGGCCACTTGTGAGTGCCACTGTGGGGATGTAAGCTTAGATGTATGCGTTTTTGCAGGCAGAGACGAACCCAGGAACGTTTGGATTACTGAAACTGTATTTTCCTTCCTTGAATCGCAGCGTCCGAAGGCCTGGTGTTGGCCTCCACTCTGCCCACCAAGAGTCATGTGGCCCTGGGCAAGCCACGTACTTAGGGATTGTTTTTTCAGATCTGATACCCATTTTTGTAAAAAAATTGTTTTCAATCTTCAAATGTTGATTTGTAGGATCTCCTCATATGGTGGATACTCACCTCGGGTCTACTGTAATATTGCAAAGAGTGTATCCTGGTCTCTCTTTGTCGTCTGACTTTGTTTATGCTGTCCCTTTATATTTTTAATTTTTAAGAGCTCAAATAGACTAAGCTTTCCCTTTATGGCTTCTGGGATTTGTGCCTTGATTAGAAAAGTTCCCCCTACTCAATGCAGTTTTAAACATTTCTCCTAGTACATTTGTCGTTTTTCTTTCTGGTTTACATTTAGATCCCTTTGGGATTCATTTATTTTGTAGAAACTTTTTTATTTTCTTCATTTTCTTCTTCTTAAAGCAGGATTTAGTGAGTCAAAAAGAAACACAACTGCAGTTGGAAAGCAACATAAGTTTAGTTTTGTCCCTTTGAAGGAAATGGCCTCCATTACCTTCTCCCCAAGTTCCCGGCAGCAGGGAGTGACCGGGCGCCGGAGCAGAGGCTGCAGGGAGCTGGGTGGATGTCCAGACTGTGCGGCCTCCTGGGGAGGAGAGGAACTGGGATGGAGGAGCCGCCTCAAGGCTCAGCATTACCCAGATTTTAGCCGACGCCCATGTTTTTCTGCAATTCTCTCTTCCTCTTTTCTCCCCACATAAAAATATTATGTCTAGAGTCAAGAGGCATGAGGAAATAAATGGAAACTCAGCAATCTGATAGAACTGCTCATTCAGTCAGTGGGGTAATATGTGTGAAAGCTGAATTAGAGTCTGATTTGTTTGCTATCAGAGCTTTTCATCAAGATAAATGAGAAAAACGGGGGAATTCCTCAGCTGTGAGTGAAACTGGGGTTCACTGTGTTATCAATCAAGATGCTGGCTGTTCTCGGTCCCCAGTGATGGCTGCCGTACCCCAGATCTTAACGCTTGGCCGGGGAGCGTGGAAGGGACCCTGGGGCACTGCCACTGGAGGTGCAGCAGAGAATAGTCAGGCCCATGCCCAGCGCTCAGAGCCACTGGCGGAGACAGGGCGGAGAAACAGCACAAATAGCACAACAGCCAGGCACATTCAGAGGGTCTGGACTGTCACAGGGGGAGGCCAGGAGGGCAGGGGGGCTTCCGAGCTGGGCCTTTAAGGACAGGCAAACTGTCATGAGGTGAGGAAGGCAGGGAAAGACAGTCGAGGATGAGGGTGCAGCCTGAACAGAGGCTGGAGTCCAGGAAGCCGCCAGGCCTGGAAGGTGCCTGGTCAGGGGCCAGGTGGAGGCGGGAGTGAGGGAAAGACAGGAGCTGGAACAATCAGGAGGGCCTGGGGGCAGCCAACGGGTTTGAACTGGATCCTGTCTTGGCCCTCTTTCCTTGCCCAAGGGGATGTCCTGCAGCCAAGTAGAGGGGCCTGCTTTGGTGAGAATCCCTGCACAGCAGGGTGTGCCCAGCCAGAGCTGACCAGGATGGGTGGGGCGCCCGACTGGGCCCTGCCCTTGCGCAGGGCTTCCTCTTGGGCCCTCTGTCCCTCCACCCACCGCCTTCTGGGGAATTGCCCAGTCAGTAGGCTGGCCAGGGAAGACACACTGGGAACCAGTCAAGTGGGAGGGGGCAATGTCAGGCAGGCATCAACACCCAGCCGAGGCCCAAGGCAAGGGCCAGTGCAGGCCAAGAGTGGCGCGAAGAAGGGCAGAATGAGATGGAGCGTGCAGGTGCCCTCACACACGTCCGGGGCCAGCCGGGACCCAGCTCTCTCTGCCCGTGCCTGCCTCCAGCTCTCTGCGTTGGTGCTGGCCCCGTGCTTCGTGACTTCAGCTGGCAGCCCTGACTCCAGGCTCAGGTGGCATTTGAAGCAGAGGAAGGAATGGGGCCAGCCAGCTCTCCTCTCCCACCTCTCCCTTATGGCAGGAAGCCCCCCAGGCCCCCTTGCTGATGTCCCCTTGTGTCTCGTTGGCCAGGATTGGGTCATACAGGCAGAGCCCATTTGTGCTGATGTCTAGGCCCTACCGTGAGAGGCAGCAGGGTTGAGGGGGAGGTGGGTGACTTCAGCAGAGGGTGGAGTTGCATGAGGGCTGGTGGGTAGAAAGGCAGCAGAGGCCTCAGGAACCACCATGTTGTTGAGATCCGGCCTGAATACAGCAGCAGCAGGAAATGGGTTTGCTGCAACTGGCCAGAGCAACTGTGGCTTGGAAAGAGCAGAGCTCGCCTGGATCCACCCCCACCGTGCTGGGCCTTCCTGGGTTCCTGACAACTCCATGTTTATTCTTCCCGCAGCCTATAATCAAAGCAGGCATATCTGCGCGCACACCACTGTGCCCTCCGTGCTGTCGTGCCCTCTGCCCTAGGCCACAGGACACGCCCGTGGTGACCAGGTCATACCTCTCAGTGACCAATAACCATGAGCTTCTCAGGAGCAGGGTATCACAAAGAACTGATTCTAGGATTTGGGCTTTGGTTAGGTGATTTGGGGGAGGCTCGAAGGACACGGAGCCACTCTAGATGGAGTGCTGTGAAGGCAGTGTAACTATCGCTGGGTGTCCCGATACACCTCACCTATGGGGAGGGAGGCCAGACCAGAGATAGCGCTGTTATTAGTAAAGCAGGAACCCTTCTTTATGCAAGGGAGGGAGTGTTTGGGGTTTTGTGGGTGGCACAGAGACACTGTGTGCTTAGACCAAGTTGGGGTGTAGCATTGTCGTGTCTCAGTTTACCCCAGTCTCAGAGTAGCCCTGCCTGAGATCGGTGTTCTCGGAGGTTATTTACGTCTGATGGGAGGATGGCACGGAAAAATGGCTCTTCCGTTTTTCTTTCTCAATTTCCTACAGTGACATAAATAAGTAGAAGGGAAAATGCCTGTATGTATCAAGACTCCCCTTCTTATTAAAATCAATTAACAAACAGTTCCTTTGCATCACAACTGCCTTCTTAAACCTTTATAGCTGCCTTTTTGTGTATGCTTTGTCAAATAATCTTCTCATTTGAATATTATTAGGAACTCAAGGCCTTTCACAGACTCAGCCTGACCCAATTAAACATGATCATGAGAATCATTATCAACTATTATTATTATTGTATGTGATTTGTTAGCATTTACCAGCGGGGGGCCTTTGAGCACTGCTCTGAACATCTGTGGAGGCGTCCTTGTCTCGTGGAGCAGGCCCGTGGACTTTCGATCTCCTCAAGCAGCCTTGCATCCTTTGAGTGGAGAAAAGCCCTTCAGTGCATATGCGAGTGGGCCAGTTGCTAGGAATCTCTGTTTAAGTGTAGAGCTCACTCTGATTATTCTAGTTTAATGTATGTTTTCTTTCCTACTTTTCTCTGAGAACCCAGTTTCATCAACCACAAAGGGTCTCCGACACCGACAGTTGTCATATTATTCCCTATTGGCGCTTGAGACAACTGCTTCCATCATCTTTCAGGCGATCCCATCAAGTAGCATTGTTGTGGCTATCAGTTACAACTGCTATGGAGTGATTTCTTCTTTCTTAAAACTAAGGAAAAAAAGGTCAAAGTAATGGGTGCATATGGTTAAAATAAATCACTTAGTATGGAGGACTCTGGTCACCCCTTTCCCAGTTAAAAGCAATCCCTTGTAATTTGTTGCTTTTTCTGTAGGTAGTTAATATCTTCAGGTAACATTCGTATGTTGGGAGATGAGTGTGAAAGGGTCTGCTCTGGAGACAGGAAGCCAAATATGAATTCTGGCTCGGGCTGTAGCTGAGGGCTTTGGATAAATTACTTAGCTGCTCTGAGACTCTAGGAAGGAAGTAGCGGTTACCAAAGGGGAGGGGGGTGGGAGGGCGGGTGCGGTGGGAGGGAGAAGGGGATTGAGGGGTATTATGTTCAGTACACAGGGTGTGGGGGATCACGGGGAGAACAGTGTAGCACAGAGAAGGCACATAGTGGATCTGTGGCATCTGCTGCACTGATGGACAGTGACTGCATTGGGGTCTGGGTGGGGACTTGATAATACGGGTAAATGTAGTAACTACATTGTTTTTTCATGTGAAACCTTCATAAGAGTGTATATCAGTAACACCTCAATAAAAAAAAATTACTTAGCTGCTGTGAGCTTTAGTTTTATTTCTTACAGGGTTATGATGAGAGTGAAAAATGAGTTAATACAAATAACTTAAAATGGAGTCTAGGGCAAAGCAGGTAGTCATCTACCATAATGCTAATAAATATTAGGTGTTGAATTTTCCTTTTCTTGATTTTTAAATTATTTATTTGTTTCCTACCAAGATAGATAATGATTTCAGTTATTTGTATACTTTTTCTTACACACCTCCCCACTTTCTCTTAATATCGTTATATCGCTAATTTTCTTTCCTCTATTGGAAATCGTTGTAGTTGTAAGCCATGTCCTTACAATTTTATTTACTCCCCACTTTATAAAATGAGAATATCAGTCCTCCTTTCCCATCATTGATTCACCTCCCAACTTATGCCATTGTGCTTTATATACTGATTGGCAACAAGTACCTTTTGTTCTCATATTTATAGGCTCTGTTTTGTTCTAAAAGTAAAAATCAAGAGTGCTTACATATTTGTGATGTTTTAGGTTTTGTTTACTGTAGAGCTAACCTGTACAATATAGTTAGTTGCACATGAGTTCTTGCACGGCTTTAGTTTTTCCTAATGTATTTAGTCGTTTAGTCGCCTTAGCTTTTACGCCTTGTATTATTGTCTTCAACATTTCCTGAATAGCCTTCAAACCATGCATCTAAGAGGTATTATTGCAAGTCCCCTTTCCCCATGGAAGCCTTCATTTCTTATGCCATTCTGTTCTGGTTGGTCTCTAGGCCCGCTGCGTGCCCTCTGTAATCCTCGACTTTGCTTCTCACTGGGTTGACTTTCCTCTTTCCTGGATCCCACATCTTTTTCTAGATTGGCTATCTTCTGCCACACCCCATACACATACACACACACACTTTTTTTTTCTGCAGTTCATTCCCAAATAACTTACTAAGAAATGATAGTGGATGGCGACTTTTCAATTCTCCACTTGGTTCCATTTCTTGCATCATCTTTTTGTTTTAGTTTCTGGGAACTTTACCTGGCTTACTTTTCCAACCTATCTTGAGCATTCATTTTGCTGATCACCTTTTAATTCCCAAGATCTCTTTTTTGTTGTGGTTGCTATATTATGCCTTTCTCTTTTCAGGGCATCTTGTTCTCATTACATAAATAAAATATCTTTCCAATCTCCCTGAGGGCATAGGTTCAGGTTTTAAAAAATATTTTCCATATTCAAAATTATCTGTTTCTTCTGGCATCATTTTGATGTGTTTATTTTTGTCACCCTTTTCCACATTGTCACATTTCTCATAAATCTGGTTCTAGATTGCCCGTTCCTATTTAAGAGGGAGGCAGACTGACTGGTAGGCTTCCCTGTAGAGCAACTGAATGGGGACTCCTAAATGCCAGAGTACAGAGATATTGTTTCTGGAGTCTTTCAATGCTGATTTGCTCCCCTCACGTGTAGACTCAGGCTGCTGTGACTATGGGATGGAATGTGGGCTTAACCTTGTCCCTGCTCCCCCCGGCCCCCCTCCCTCTCGCCTTCCTCTCTGAGGCTCTGTCTAGCGGACCAGGCTTCCCTGCATGCCCTCTCTCTGTTTCTCTGAAGGCAGCACCATCTACCCCTCTTTATTCAGTTATCACCTCTCCAGCCAGGCTGTCTGCACACATTTGTTGAAATCTCTGGTCTCCTGTTGACCCCGTTCCTGTTCATTTGGCAGCACGGTGAGGAGTGGCAGTGTGTGGGCCTTGAGTCCAGCAGATTGGGTTGGAACCCAATCTACCACTTACTGATTTCTGGCCTTGGGGAGACCCGGCCCCTTGGTGCTCCATATTGCTGCAGCTGGCCTCACATTCAGCCCCATGATTTGTTTTCTCTCCCTCAAGGGTGAAGCAACATCTCCTTCAGGCAGAGACCCACACTGGCTGCCGGCACCATGACCTCAGGTATTTGGCTTCTTCTCTGGATGGTTCCTAAGAGGTGCCAAGGGGAGACACCCTACCTGGGTCTTGGGAGGACACTTCTGTCCTGGTCTTCTCAGTTTCCATGGCCAAGGTGGCTCCCTCCCTCCCCGTATACTGCCCACCAAATGACTTAGAAGTGAGGCTAGGACAGGTCACAGGGAGCTGGGGGACAGCAGAGTGGAAGGCAGAGAAGGAGGCTTGAGAAGGGGCGGGATGGGAAGAAGTGGCAGATCAGCTACTCTGCAGGCTTCTCCTGCCCTCTTGCCTTGTCCCAGCCACTAAATTGGACCCCAGTCTGGGCTCTGCCACCTCACCTGTAAAACAAGAATAATGTTTCCCTGTGTTGTTATGAGGATCAAATATAATATGTGTGCGTGGCCTGGGCCAGTGCCTGCCCTGCAGGACATCCCACCTACATGTTGCTGCGTTCCTTCTACCGGGGACCTGTCAGTTGCAGGCAGAAACAACGGGCACTGGGCGCCTGCCCTATGCTCCTGACCATAACCTGCTCAACAGGTATGGCAGCCTCGGGCAGGGACTGATTCTCTTGATCTCAAATATCCCCACAGAGGCTCAGCTCTCAGTTATTTCCTCCTCCCAATCAATAAATACACAGACTGAGTGCTGTGGGTTGCCTCCATCTAAGCCCTGGTTTCCCTTCTCCCTTAGTGAAGCACAAAAAGAAAAACCTAAATAATATTGCACCCACCTGCTGAAGTCATGTTTCCCAGCCTGCACTGCGTTGGCAGCCAAATCAAAGCCTCCTAAGGGAGGAAATCCTGCTTTACTTAGTCACATTGAAGGATGAAGGAGCGGATGACTGATCCAAGGCTGGGAGCCCCCCAGCAGGCCCTGGGATCCTTGACGGTGGGAGGGCTGGTGGGTTCCTTCAGGATAAACTCTATCTCGGAAACCAGTTGACCTCTCATTTAGTAAATGGGCCAGCTTGGGTTCAGAAGTGGCAACGGGGAGCTGTGTCCCCTGGGACCAGCGTGGAGGGGACAGAAGTGATACAGATTGATCACAAGGCTCAAAGCTGAGGGTCCAGCCCCTACCCACTTGAAGAATTCCTACTGCCCATCTTGGAGTGTCTGGGAGCTGGAGAAGGGGACCTCTCCACATGGTATGTTTACTCAGTGACTAAAATATAACTTTTAAATTTAAAAAGAAAAAACCGTGGATATGCTATAGCGCAGAGTGCAGACATCGCAGGGCTTTTTAAAGCACAAGAAGGCCCCAGAGTCATGTCAAAGGCATGTCTGACGCTTGGCCTCGGGTTCAGCTTCTAAGCTTCCTGTTTGCTGGCTTCAGAGGGTCCCTTATCCTGTCTGAGTCCCACTTTCTTTTTCTGTGAATACAAATAATGCCTCAGTGTGTGTATAGAGAAGGAAACACATTTTACCTCATGCCCCAGTACACACATAAATATATATGAGCCCCATTCTCTTGTCTGCACTTCCATGATCTACAAGTTCCTGAAAACCACACATTTTTTGGTAACTCTTTTGGGCTGTAATCTTGCCTTGAGCTGACCTGAGGCTGTTTACAGCCATCCCATTCTTTGTCATTTCCTGGGCATATGCATTTGTTTCACTGTTGTAACATGAACGCATTTGTTTACAGAGCGCTGCCCACACCCTGCTAAAAGGGGTAATGTACCCTACGTGCCCTGTGTTATCTTTCTAAAGGATGAAAAGTCTGAATTCCTAAACATATCTAGATGCCAGGAATTAGATAGTACGTTCTGGAGGCTGGAAATCCAAGCTGGCAGGTGGGTTTCCAGGGAGTCCTCTCTTCCTGGTTTGCAGATGGCCGCCTTCCGCTCTGTCCTCACTTGCCCTTTCCCCTTGCTGGGAGAAAGAGGAAGACAGGGGGCCAGGTCTGGGGTTTCTCCCTGTTCTTAGAAGGACACCAGTCTTACTGGATTAAGGCCCCACAGTTACGACCTCATTTAACCTTAGTTACCTCCTAAAGGCCTTCAAGTATAGGCACACTGGGGGTCAGGGCCTCAACATATGAATTTGTGGGGACCCAGTTCAGTCCACAACCCCAGGGGACTCCATCACAAGCATAGCTGCTCAGGAGATTAACATTTAACCACGTTCTGCTCAATGCCATTTACCCTCTATCACAATTTCCGCTAACCTTATTCTTATGTTTTCCGTCCAGAGCACAAGAGGTTTCTTGAGGAGGTCACTGAGTACTTCCGGAGCACAGTGAGCAGGCAGGAACTGAACCTCCTGCTGACTAACCGCAAGACTTGGGAGAGATTTGTGGCTGAGGCCGGTTTGTCCAGGTAACGTCCAGGGGCGGCCCCAGGTTGTCACCCAGATCTCCCCTCTGGGCTAGTTTCCTCCTGGCAGGCACACCTCCTCCAGGCAGTGGCCTGTGGTTGGGGTAGAGGGTGTCCCTTCTCAACAGTCCATGAGGAGCATTTCTCCCCCATCATGCCCTGGCAGTGAATGGCCTTGGGCTGAGAAGAGGTGAACCCTGCAGGGAGCAGGTTATGTGACCGTGGGCAGGTTACTTAACTACTCTCTGCCTTAGCTGCTTTATTGGCTCACCTCTATGGTGAGGAAAATAAGATAATGCATGTAAAGTGCCGAGCATAGTGACTGACAGGAAGCAGGTGCTCCATTAATGTGAACTTTGAAAATGATTGCTGGGAAGAGACTGGGGCCAGGTGCCTTCTTCCTGGGGATGACAGCCAAGCAGGCTTCCTTTGGGACGTGTCAGAGAAATCCTGGCACAATCAATTTGTGTCCCTGGGAACTTGGGCTAGAACGCTTTTCCTCCCTGTCTCCGACTGTGCAGGCACCACAGGGTCCTGGTGGCTCGTAAGGCAGAGGCTGCAGGTTAGTGGACTGAGCTGCTTGGACCTGACTCTCTGCCCAGCCCCAGGGCTCTGGGCTTATATCTTGGAGGCTCAGATTTGTCGTCTGGTCAATGGGAATAGCAACCTAGTCAGATGGGACTGTAGTGAAAGGCTTAATATGAACCACAGGGTCAAAGGTGAGGAGCCAAAGGCAATCACCCTACCCCAAGGCCCAGGGAGGCTTGGACCCAGGTCAGTACGAGAGGCCAGGTTGAGGACAAGTAGGAGGCTCGGACAGCGGGGCTGGGACTGGAGTGGGGTGCAGGGGCACCAGACTTGAGGGGCCCAGGATGTGGCGGTGGCCCTGGGCACGGGGAGGGGAATTTCTTCCCACCCTTCCCTGATCGCCTCATGACTGCACGTGGAGGGCCACGTGGGGTTGTCTCCTCCGCACCCTCTCTGGTTGCTGGCGGTCCTCAGCTGCCACCAGGGACCCTCCTCTATTCTCCACAGAGCAGCCCTGACCAGTGGGAAGGCAGTGTGGCTTGGTGACAACTTCCAACAACTTTGTGTAATTCGAGGGATTCTGAGGAGACTCACAGGTCCTCACAAAGAGGGACATGCTTCCTCTACCAGCTCACCTGAGCTCAGCCTTTCAGGCTTAGTGATTCTTGGTGACGGCTCTTAAAGTCCCTGTGTCTTTAAGAGGTTCCATTAAGCTGCACAGAGCCTTGGCGTGCACGCCAGCTGCCATGGGAGTCAGGGTGGGGACACCTGAGGGGTGGGGGGAGGCAGTGAGGTGGGCTGGAGGGTCCCAGGGGACCAGGGTGCGTAGCAGGTCTCCTGCTTCCCAGTCGGGCCCCGTGGCTGGATCCAGTGACTCCCAGCTGGGAAGATCAAAGGGCCTCAACATGGAAGAGAGCAGACACCAGGCAGAATGATTGCTGAGGTCCCTTCTAGCTCTGAGTTTTTGTTTGTTTGTTTGTTTGTTAATTCTAAGCACCCAGGGTTAGCCAAACTGCAAAATCTAAAAGTATAATCCCCAAGATCACCCCTACTTTCAACACGAACTACAGAGGTAAGCCACCCTCAGGTTTAATAATTCACTGGAAGGACTCACAGAACTCACCGAAAACTGTCACACTTACAGTGACAGTTTATTACTGTCAGAGAAGGATACAGGTTACCATGAGCCAAAGGAGTGGCACAAGGGCAGGGAGGGTTTTGAACAAGCAGCTTCCATTGTCCCCAGGACATGTTACTGTCCTGTGTCCACCATGTGACAATGTGCATGGAGCATTGCTAAGCAGGGAAGCTCACCCTGTTTAAGAAAAACCTTATTCTGACCCTTGGTGGACTTTATTCCAGATTATTGCAATAGGTGTCAAGACTCGCAATAGGGGAGAGAGATCCAGCTCAACTCCCAGTACAACAAAGACACTGGGGATTATGGCCAACGAGCAGAGTGGGGGGATCAGTGGGTGAAAAATCACTAAGAGAAGATGTCAAGGGTGGGGGGATTCTTGCAAATCGAGACTCACCAGGCAGCCAAGGATTTACACATCAAAGGTGGGGGATGAAGAACTTGATCAGTTATCAGGAGTGGGGGCATTCTTGCTAAACTGACTTAGCTGGATTCTTGCTACAGCTGGGCAATACAGGCCAACAAGGACAGGACACAGAAGGTCAAGGTCAAGTCATTGTCGAGAAAAGAGGTCATAAGAACCTAACTACAGTTTGGTCAAGGAAAAAGTCTTTTCCACGGCAAGCCTCAGTGTATAGTTTTTTTTGGGTTCAATCACAGGCTGCCCACATGGCTGAGCTGGGGTCTTCAGCCCCTTCTGGAGGTCAACCTAATGCTTTTAGTTTCCATTTCCTCTGTAGGTTGGACCTGATACCACGTGACCCAAAGCCCCCATCATACATCACTTTGTCAGACTGTCCACTGGCCAAAGGCCCAGGCAAATGGAGATATTCCTAACAGTCAGAACATTCTAGGGGCCTAGAGATCACTTCCCAGTAGCCAAGGGCAAAGGGCAGACCTCCCTGTGGGGAAGGTCTTCATTTCACACTAAAATTCTCTTAAGTTTTAGTGTGGTTTTTCTGCTCCACCTCCACTTTCCTTTGCTTGTCTATGGAGTTTCTGCACGAAAGTTTGTAGTGATGGGGTAGATGGCCCCTTGAGTGAGAAGGCATCTTTATCAAATACCTGCCCCCTAAGAGCATGTTACTTCTTTGGTCCCTGATTGAATAAGTACTATGGAGCCCGTGGGACGCACAAATTGTGCGTAGATCTACGCACAGATTGTGCGGTAGATCTTATCAAGCCTGTTTTCCAAAAAGCAAACTGCCTTTCTTAATCACTTGACCTTCACTATTACAGCTATGAGGCAGGTATACTACATGAAGCTCTGGGTAAACTGAAAACAGACATGGCCATGCAGGATACAGACATGCCCCTGGAAACATGTCTGAAGAGGAAGGAGTTTCTGGAAGCACTTCATCGATTAAAACTGTATCAGGATGTGTACATACGTGAGCTCTATGCGCTTGCAGACAAGGTTGACAAGGTCCACAGGGACTGCACCATTGCCAACGTGGTGACTGCGTCCACTGGCACTGTGTCTGGCATCCTGTCTATCGTTGCCCTGGCTCTGGCCCCCGTGACAGCAGGGGTCAGTGTGGTACTCTTGGGAACTGGGATAGGGCTGGGAATAGCCACAACTATCACTGGAGTGTCCACTAGCATCGTGGACTATGTAAGCGAGTCGTCAGCAAAAGCTAAAGCCAGATGTCTAGTACCGACTCACGTTGACTTAGAGAAGGCCATACATCAGGACCTTATTTTGCTAAAAGAGATATACATCCAAGGCCTGAAGTGTATCATGCACCATGCCATCAAACTGGCCAAAGCCTCCTGCACAGCCCCAGCCAAGAGTGTCATGACCACTGCGAGAATCCCATTCCAAAGCAGTGGGCCGGTGAAAACAGCTTTAGGAGGTGCTGCTCTGACAGTGTCCAGGGGAGCCCAGATCGCAGGTATAACCACTTCTGCCATCTCCATTTTGTGTAACCTGGTCAACCTTGTGAAAGAGTCGAAGCACTTGCACGAGGGGGCAAAAACACAACTGGCTAAGGAGCTGAGGCAGCAGGCCTGGAAGCTGGAGAGGGAGTTGCAGGAGCTCATGGGGATCTATGAGAGTCTGTCCACGGGAGGGCCTGACTCGTGACCGCTGCGGTGGGGCGGGAAGTGCAGCTGTACGTGGGACAGAGCTGAATGGATATGTGAATATATTAAATAATAAAAGGGACTTTGCAGAGGTGATTCGGTAAGGATCCTGAGATGAGGAGATTACCTGGGATTATCTGGGTGAACCCAATGAGATCACAAGGGTCCTTATAAGAGGGAGGCAGGGAGGGTCAGAAGGAAGAAGAGGGGTGTGACAGCAGAAGCAGAGAGAGAGAGATTAGAGCATGCTACGCTACTGGCTGTGAAGCTGGAGGAGGGAGCCAAGGGGAGCGGGCTGCCTCTGGAAGCTGGAAAAGGCAAGGAAGTATTCCCCCCCAGGGCCCCCAGAAAGAACGCGGCCCTCTGACACCTTGAGTTTTGTATCTGACCACCAGAACTGTAAGAATAAATTTGGATGATTTCAAGTCCCTGAGTCATGTGTTACAGAAGCCCCAGGACATTTGCATGCAACTCCTTCCACATCGGTGCCCAAATTTGCACTGCAAACATCTAGTGAGGGTTGAATTCATCATGTGAACCAGAGACCTATAGAATCAGTTTCTGAATTTGGTTTTTATAGGAGAGTATTTCAGAGGAAAACATAAAAAGCTAGAATTTACTTCATGCCTTTAGGAGAACTTTCAAGATTTCACCAGGCGCTTGTCAGCAGCATCAGAAGCAGCTGTCCAACTCCAGGTGCCAGCATTTCTTGTCCCTCCTATGGAGGATGACAGCAATCGCCACTGGCATTTCACCATGGCCCTGTCCCCGCCTCAGCCAGAAAACCAAAGCCAAATAATATGCCAACCCTCCTGAAGGTGTGTGGACTGCATCCCAGTCTTGGGTACCAATTTCTGTGTCAGTGAAGATACTGTAGTAGCAGGTAAAAGAATGGCAACATGAAAATAAAGACAAAAAGCAAATAAATGTAAGAGCAAAATAAAAACCAAAAGAATCCACCTTCTGGCTAAGTCAAGAATAGAGGTATTTATTGGAATTAACGAGATGCGTGTCCGCACACGCACACACACACATGTACACACAGACACGTGCGTGCACCCTGAGGGATCTCGGCAGGAGGAAGTGTGCTTCCCCAGGCCTCAGTGCCACAGCCTACCTCTGAGGGTTTTCTGGGTTTTCTCCTTTCCTGGGGTGGGATTCCGACTGGTTCTAGGGGACCTTAGAGCCGTCCTTCATGGCTAGGGGCTTCAGCACCAGGGTCATCAGCCTGAGCGGGCAGCACCTCCTTGGACCTCTGCAGGAGCTTCCTCCTCCGTCCAGGGGCCAGTGGAGGGGCAGGAGCATCGTCCTCTGCACACCTCCCTCCCGAGTAGCCCCTTAAGGGAGGCCAGCCACCCTGGGCTGGGCGCGTCCCAGAGGTGGTGGAGGGCTGCGTTTCTCTGGTGGGCAGGAGGACTGAGCAGAACTTCCTCCCTACCGCTCTCCCGAGTGCAATGACACACAGACCAAGGCCCCCCCCCTTGCTCACCAGGAGTCCTTCTTTCTTCCCAGGCCCCACCAGGTGCCCCCTCCTCCCAGTTCGCCTCCTGCTGTGCTCTCCCTGCCCTGTCTCAGTTTCCCACCAGCAGCAGACAGTGGCCGGGGAGGCGCCCGTGCTGGCCATCCTCATCACATGGTCGGTTGGATAAATGGCTGTCATGTGACTCTACGGGTCTGGCCATTAGATCCGAGGGGTAGGGAAAAAAAGCCTCACCTAGCTTCCAGGCCTACTTTTCACGGCAGGATTAATTACCAGAGAATGCCCACGCCCGGGCTGGGAGAGAAGAAGGTAGCAGATGTTTCCTCCACATTAGTGACCCAGCCCATTGTTTCTCTCCCTGTGCCTATTGTTCTTGGGGGTCTGGTGAGCACAACAGGAACTTGAGGAAGGGAGGAGGGAGGCCTGGAAGAATTCAAGGAACAAGACATACCCAGAAACCCCCGCAACTGGAGCCCATCTTAGGCCGAGAGATGCACACCCACGGGTGAGGACTGGGGCATCCAGTGCCAACGTGGAGATTCCAGGACCGGAGAGGAGCCTGCAGCAGCCAGGCCCAGGGCCCAGGCAGGTATCTGGCCACAGGGAAAGCAGGCTGGTCCATTCTGTTTAAGGCTCTCCTCCAAACAAGCAGTCTCGTTATTCAGGCCCTCCTAAATCTTTGGTGAATGGAACAATTGTTGGCTCCAGGGCTTATTATTTTTCTCACCACCCTTTACCCATCCTGTTTACAGCCCCAGACTGTGACCCGCACAGTTCCACAGGGGCTGAAAATGCTCAGGTGTAAGGGTTTGGCCCTTGGTGACTTAGTGCTGAGCGTTGGGAGGCAGTGGTGGAAAACCACCCCAAATCCTGTTCTTCGGCTTCTTTGTATGGCATCCTCCATTGAGGAAGGCGCTGCGGCCAACTCTGAAGACTGAGGGATGCTGGAACCACCCGACCCCTACCACATGGTGCCCTTGGTACTAGATGTTTCCTCGTGTCGGCCTCTGCAGCAAGACCGGGGGCCTCGGGAGCTGGTGGGTTGTATCCGTGAACACACCAGGGGATGGGGGCCCTAATCCCCTCCATCCTTCAGGTAGAGAAAAATCTCAGTGGAATTATTAAAAACCCAGCAACTAAGAAGAAATTCAGAGGCCCATATCTAGGAATCTGGTTGCTCAGAGGATCAGGAAGGATTGCGATTGGTTTAAAAGACAGAGTTTGGACTTGCTGTCAGAATAGGAATGTTGAGAATGTGTGATCCTGGGGCAGCAGAGGGTGACCTGTGGATTGAGCTGGAGAAACAGGGATTCCTGGGGAGAAAGGTTGAGGTAAGCAAGCCAGACTGGACAGATGCACTAGAACCCCCTTCTGGCAGCTCTTGAGCTGGGATCAGGAAAGACAGTGTGTCGAATCGCAGCCAGATCTTGGAAGGGACAGGATTCAAAAAGGATGAAGAGGACATCTCCCTCCACTAAGGCAGCAGGGATGGAGGAAATGACCAAAAGTCACTTTCTAAAGGGGAGAGATAAGGGTTTAATAAGAACCACAGTGGCCCAGCTAAGCTCCAAGCAGATGTGAATAAGGGGATCTGATTACAGTTTTTCACAAGTTCATCTGTGAGTTTCATGGTGACGGAGGTATAGCTGGAGAAGTGAGCCTGGCCTGTACCTTGAGGAGCTTACGTAGGAGGACACTGGGATGGGAATAGGGTCGGAAAAGTTGGGACACACTCAAGAGGCCCAGGCATGGGAATCAGGGATGGTGTTTGGACCCGAGTTAGATGTTAGGCAGGTGGAGGAAGGGCCCCCCCGATGGAATCACCCCACTCTGGGAAGTGAGGGGGCTGGATTGGTGTTTGCAGTGGAAACTTCGGAAAGATCCAGAACTTCTTGGTTTCCTATTTCTCCATACGGTGGTCCCTGCAAAGTGGACTCCAGAGGCATATATGGGGAGACTGAGGCTTACACCCTGAAGTACCAATAAAGGTTAAGGAAGGAAGACACTCTGACCCAGAAAACAGTGTTAACAGTACCCAAGCTTGAGAAAGAGCAGGACCAGCTTAAGGAGCTGGGTGAGACTGTTTCTGTGCCTGAATGAATCAATGAGGGCAACTGAGGCAAACAGTTGTCAGAGTCTCATCTCACTGCCACAAGGAGAGGGGATGCAATGCCTCTCAAAGCATTGTGGTAGTCACCGGGCTGTTGGCTACATTTTTCTGGATTCCCCCACTTCCAGGCACAAGGTAGGATTGTTCTTCCTGTTCTTAGAGTGGGGTGGGATCTCTGAGATCTTGGGCAACTTATCATCTCTCTGATCTTTGATTTGATCATTCATGAATTGTGTACCTCCCTCCTAGACTAGATGTAAGAATGGAGCCTGAAGCTGCTCGTAAAGATTTCAACATGAGCCTTTGACAGTTGATGGCTGCTCTCCATTGCCATCAGGCAGGAAACAGGGTTTGTTTTCCTTCTTCCAGACCTTTTGAGTCATTGTAATACTTTCCATTTTCTCAGCTTCCTCTGTTTCAGGAGAAAAGAGGTGTAGTCGAGCAGGTACAAGCTGCTGCAGAAAATCCACGCTTTCCGTAAACAGGCTCCCACAGCCATCTGTGTCCATCTAAGCATTACTGTTCACCAACTTGTGCTTTTTAAATTTCTACTTTTACTCAATAAGCAGTTCGCCTCTGCCTGCTTGAGCCGTGACTGTGCAAAGGACACTGGTGACATAGATGCACTTGGGAAACACAATCTAGTCACCCTAGTCTAGTAGGGGATAGATGAGGAAAGGGGGCATGCAGCTAGGTTTGAGCGCCCACAGGTACAGGTACCAAGGAGGCACTGAGCTGGTGACATCACCTTTGCCAGGGAAGACTCTGGAGGCCTTCTCGGAGGAGGTTTGGGCTTTAGGGGATGACCTAGGTCTTTACAGGTGATGGAACCAAATGTTCCGGTAGAAGGAATGGCAAGAACAGACACCCAGACGCGTGCCGGTGGGTCATGGCATCAACACAGTGATCAGTACTGCCATTTCTGATCGGACACCATATGTGTGTTCCTGGAGCCTGAAGCTCTGCAAGGCGTGCACCATGACCAGCAGAGCTTCCCGGAAAGCTAGGCTGAGAAAGCCCCCCTCGAAGCCTGTGGGGCTGTGTCAGTGGAGCAGAACCCAAACCCTAATGATCCTGATAAACATTCCTCCTCCGTTCAACCCCCACCAACATCTGTCCCTGTCCTTAGGTTAATGCTTTGCAGCCTTAAGCCTGGGAGTTCCTGATCCTTCCCTCAAGATGGAAGTCTCAGGGACCTTTTGCTTTTAATAGAGGCTATTTTCATCAAAATTAAAATCAGATCTGGCGTATAGCCTTCCTGATTAACCCGCCATTTTAATACAGTAGGAAATGACTTCCCAGCTTCCCCATCTGCACTCACAGCTTCCCAGAAGAGTTTGACATTGATGAAGGCTCAGAGGTTCTTGGGGCCACTAAAGCAGCCATAACCAGCACAGAAGGGGGCAGCGGGCGCTATTCAGGTGTGTGGGTGCAGGGAGAAGAAACAGGTGGCCCCATGTGTCCTGCAAGTCGCCAAGCCTTGCTGTGTGATTGTGGGAAAACCTGCCCCAGATTCGTTCCAGAACTTCAGTGTGCTGGGGAAACCCGATTATACCGGCATCATTCTATTAGAGGTGACTGAGCAAAACAAAACCCAGAACAACAAAAGTCAGGTACTGTGTTCACCGAGCACCTCTTATACCCCAGGCTGCATGCTCAGGCCGGGGATGTGCTGGGTTTGGGGGTGCAGAAGGAGCAGCAGGGGATGACCCAGCATGCAGAAGTCACTCAGGCCACATAGCCAGTTAGTGCCACAGCTTGTGTGACCCCGGAGACCCCAGAAGGTCTGGGCTTGGGCCACCCTCTTAGTTGGCGAGTGGAGGGGTGGCACTGAG